AGTTCACCCAAAAATGAAAATGCCCTTACTGTCACAGAGTCACCAGACACGGCAGATCCTGCAGCTCCACCCACTCATTCACAATCCCCAAAGTTCTGATTCACCGCACCTGCCTACACCAATCAAGCCACCCTTTATAAACCCTCACTGTGCACTTCTCATTTGTTTGGTCTTGTTGTTACCTTGCGCAACAAACTGGCTACCTACCTGTTCTACTTACCTTCCTCGATCCTCCATCTTCATCTTCCTGTTGAGCATTCACCATTGTGGACACTTACCTGCTTGTCACTACTCACCGGTGTTTCAGCTAAGTCTGCTTTACTCATCCATTTATCTGCCTGCCTCCATATTGTCAATAAACATCCCATCTGTATCAGTCCCTGTACTGTGTCCTTCTGTTTCATAATAGAAGACTAGACCAATAATGCAATGACAAATGGAACCGTCTGCCAACCCCAACCCGGATCACTTTGCTGAACTCGTGGAAACACTTCATCTGTCACTCCTACCTCTCACCTCTCCTTCAACATCATCTCGCTCCTGTCGGGACGCACCCTTTAATGAGCAAGTGCCATATGGAAGGCCAATGGTCCAGTAACCACTTCTCTCATGGTGTTCATTACCCATTTCAAGGAGGTTTTCGGCCAAACAGCATCCACCCTGTCTGTGCAGGACCAACTCTTTCGGCTTTGCCAAGGTAGTTCATCTGGGAGAGAATATGCTCTCCAGTTCCGCACTCTGGCGGACACCAGCAGGTGGAATGAGACCTCACTCATAACCGCCTTTCAACATAATCCTGTCTTTCACCTATTATGAAATCTTCCGGATCTCCATCAAGACCTCACCTATCCACTTCCTGCAGGCCTGTAGACCTTGCATCCACCACAATTGAGAGTCCAGAAACCACAGATTTAGCAAGCAAGCAGGCAGCCACCCAGCTACCACCACACCGGTCATAGGACTGTGCCATTGACCTGCTGCCTGGGGCTAGTCTACCCAAGGGAAAGATCTTCCCACTGTCCATCCCAGAAAACAAGGCCATGGAGGAATATATTGAGGAGGCTCTCAAATAAAAATTCATCCACCCATCCACTTCTCCAGCACCTTCATCAGAAAAAAGGATGGAGGCTTGCGGCCTTGCATTGATTACCATGTTCTGAACTCACAAACCATTAAATACTGTTACCCTCATCCTCTGGTCCCTGCCGCCCTAGAGCAGCTGTGCGGAGCCTGTATCTTGGAGTTCCTCCATCACTTCGTGATCATGTACATCAGTGTTTCTCAACCCTGGTCCTGGGTGCCCCCCAGCACTGCACATTTTGTGTGTCTCCCTAATCAAACACACCTGATTCAACTCATTAGCTCATTAGAAGAACCTGCAGGACCTGAAATGGGTGTGTCAGATTAGGGAGACATATAAAATGTGCAGTGTTGGGGGGCGCCCAGGACCAGGGTTGAGAAACACGGGTGTACATCAATGATATACTCATCTACTCCCGGAACCTGGCTGAACATCACCACCACATGAAGTAGGTCCTCCAGAAACTGAAGGAACAACGCCTTTACTTCAAGTTGGAGAAATGTGAGTTCCACAAAGACAAGATCCAGTTCCTCGGGTATGTCATCGACCATAATGGCATCCATGTGGACCAGAGGAAAGTGCAAGCTGTTAAGGTCTGGCCTCAACCTACCTCCGTCAAAGAACCCAAAGGTTCCTATAATTTGCCAATTTCTATCATCAGTTCATCGCAAACTTCAGCCAAATCTGTGCTCCTATCACCGCCCTCCTGAAAGATAAGCCCAAGTCTCCATCCTGGACACCTGCCGCCATCCAAGCTTTTCATCAGCTTAAGAAAGCCTTCTGCATCGCTCCTACCCTGACTGATCCAGATCTTCTCTTCGTCATTGAAGTCGATGCCTCTACGGTCGGGGTAGGATCAGTGCTTTCTCAGCGTCAAGGAGAGCCTCCCGTCCTCCATCCTTGCACCTTTTACTCCAAGAAACCATCCCCAGCAGAGCAGAATTACGACATCGGCAACCGTGAACTCCTGGCCATTAAACTAGCCTCGGAAGAATGGCATCATTGGCTGGAGGGAGCAAGGCATCTGTTCAAAGTCATTACCAATCACCGTAATTTAGAATACCTCCGTGATGCTAAGCGGCTTAACCCCAGACAGGCCCGCTGGGCTCTGTTCTTCACCCGATTCAACTTCATTGTCACTTACCGACCAGGATTCAAGAACCAAAAGGCCGATGCACTCTCCCGCATCCATCACTCTGATCAAAACAACTCGCTTCCTGAACCTATCCTCCCTCCAGCCATGATCGTAAGCCCCATCCAAGCCACTCACTCTGAACCTGCTCCACCGGGAGGTCCAGAAGGGAAGGTCTATGTACCTACATCTCTGCGGCTCACACTTCTGGAGTCAGTTTACACCTCTGCAAGCTCTTTGGGGACCTAGGTAGCCTGCAAACCCTCTCGCTCCTCCAAAACCACTATTGGTGGCCCAATATGACCCAGGATGTCTCCCGGTATGTGAAGAGCTGCTCAGTCTGTGCCATGTCCAAGACTCCTTGTCATCTCCCTGAAGAAAAGCTGGTTCCTCTACCCATTCCATGTCGACCCTAGTCTCACCTCGGAGTGGACTTTGCAACGGACCTACCTACCTTGCACTCGCACACCTGCACCTGCATCCTGGTAGCCGTGGACCGGTTCTCAAAAGCCTGCAAACTCATCCTCTAAAAGGACTACCCACCACACTGGAAACCGCAGAACTTCTGTTCCAACATTTGTTCCAAAATTTCGGGCTACCCGAGGATATAGTCTCAGATCGCGGACCCCAGTTCATCTCTCAGGTGCGGCAAGCTTTCTTCCAGCTACTGGGAGTCTCCATCAGCTCCCTATGACAGAACACCACGGGACTTATCCCGTACCCAGTGCATACTCGGCTTCTAGCCACACCTGTTTCCCTGGTCTGGTGAGCCATCAGATGTTACAGCTGTGAACCTCTGGTTCCAGGAGAGCATGAGGGTTTGGGACTCAGCTCATGTCCACCTGCAACAGGCAGTTCGGAGACAGAAGAGCCAGGCCAATACTCACCATTCCAGCGCTACCAAACCGGGACAGAAGGTCTGACTCTCTACCAGGGACATTTGTCTTCGACTACTTTGTCGCAAACTGAGTCCCCGCTACATAGGTCCATTTACCCATCCGGAGGCAGATCAATGATGTCACTTATCAGCTCTCCCAGCACACTACCGCATCTATCCAACATTTAATGTCTCACTCCTTAAGCCATTCACTAATCCTCTTGTCTCTCCCTCCTCAGGATCTGGCGACCTTGATGGACCTCCTCCTCCAGAGATCGACAACGAACAACTCGTCTACTGTGTCAACACCATCTTGGACTCTCGGTGACGAGGCGGCTGTTTGGAATATCTGGTGGACTGGGAAGGATACAGCCCTGAGGAAAGATCCTGGATTGTAATGATATGTAATGGACCTTCATACAGATCGTCACGCTCCCAGAGGCAGACGCCGTCCTTGTTGCCGCTGGAGCTGCCCATAAACCCTCACTTTGCACTTCTCATTTGTCTGTTCTTGTTGTTATCTTATGAATGAACCTGGCTACCTTCCTGCGCTACTTACCCTCCTCGATCCGCCATCTTCATCTTCCTGTTGTGCATTCACCATTGTGGACTCTTACCTGGTTGTCACTACTCAACGGTGTCTCAGCTAAGTCTGCTTTACTCATTCGTTTATCTGCCTGCCTCCATATTGTCAATAAACATCCCATCTGTATCAGTCCCTGTCCTGTGTCCTTCTGTTTCATAACACTTACCCTCAGGCCATCCAAGCTGTAGATTAGTTTGTTTCTTCATCAGATTTGGAGAAATGTAGCATTGCATCACTTGCTCCGCAATGGATGCTCTGCAGTGAATGGGTGCCGTCAGAATGAGAGTCCAAACAGCTGATAAAAACATCACAATAATCCACACCACTCCAGTCCATCAGTTAAAATCTGGAGAAGACAAAAGCTGAAACAAATCCATCAAGACGTTTGTAACTAAAATAATCCATAATAACGCTTCCTCCAGTGAAAAAGTCCATCTCCTGTGGTCTCCACCCACATTTATTATGGATTATGGTCTCGTATTTTAGTTAAAAATGTCTTAATGCTGGATTTGTTTCAGCTTTTGTCTTCTCCAGATGTTAACTGATGGACTGGAGTGGTGTGGATTAGTGGGATGTTTTTATCAGCTGTTTGGACTCTCATTCTGACGGCACCCATTCACTGCAGAGGATCCATTGCGATTATTGTGATGTTTTTATCAGCTGTTTGGACTCTCATTCTGACGGCACCCATTCACTGCAGAGCATCCATTGCTGAGACACTGATGCAATGCTACATTTCTCCACCTGGGATGGCTTGAGGGTGAGCATATTTTAATTTTTGGTTTAACTTCTTTTCAATGTGATATTAAGCGCAGCTTAAACTCTAGGGCAGTTTCTTTTCTTTTCCTCTTTGGGCTTTGAAGCTGTCTTCAGCTTCCATTCATCATTGGCGGCTCTGCTACGGCTCGGCTCCCGTGGATGCGTGTGTTTATATTGCGATCCCGCCTAATGCAGCTGCACGTAGATTTATTAGCGCAGGATATGAATACACGAGTGACTCTTCCAGCACGTCTGGAGTTGAACAGTGGCCCCAGGATGAAGATGGGAATGGCAGCAGGTGTTTGTTCACACAAGCATCTGTCTCACATCAACCCGAGAATGACAGATGTGTTCAGCTCTTTCCTCACGTAAGGTGTCCCCTTTGCTGACTTTTAAGGGCTTGTGCAGTGCAGTGGACATGGAAGTAGTTATTACATCAACAAACATCTGTGTATGTGTGTGTGTGTGTGTGTGTGAGAGTGATCAGCCAAAGTCTCAGTAGCCTCTTCCCTGTCCCGTGTGGGATAATCTGTGCTGATAAGGCACACAGAGGACTAAACACTGGCTGCATCCTGTAGCAGCACATGGGTTCCTGGTAAGCGCTCTCTGTCTGTAATTCTGATTGGCTCAGCATTATTGCCTGCAGTGTCTGACACGCTGCCCGGCCCCGTGCCACCACTCCAGCATGACCTGGGACAGCCACAGACGTCCAGCGACGATGCCCACTTTCTCTCTTTGTTTGCTTTCACTTGTTTCTTGAAGTGAGACGGCTCATACTGTAGGTGACGGGGCATGTGGGATGGGCTTTTTTGGATCGGTGCCGTCCATTGTGCTGTGAGATGTCCCCAGGGCTTCATGGGTTTTTGATTGTTCTGACACGTGGAGCATCGCAACGCAAACCTATCAACAGGTAACGAAGACAACTGAACAGAGGCCTACTGATGAGATTACAGGCCTGTTAGTTTATGTGTACTTGCTAGCATGTAGCATCTGTCTTTGGGTTGTTCGTATTATAATTTCTAGGTTATATCTCAAGGTTTTGTGCATGTTTTCCACCCCCAAAGAATGTAGAAATGGTTGTGAACTCATAAGCACCCCATCTAATCTAATTCTCATGGCTGTAATGTGAAAAACAATTTAAATGTTTAAATGCTTTAGTATTTTACATTATGATCAATTTAAGCAGATTTAAATAAAAATCTTTACTGCAGTTCAGTAAAAATGTCTCAAACACTGAGAATAACAAGAATTGAACATCTAGTAAAACATCTGGATGAGTTCCGATAATGATAATTTGGGCAAATATGCTTAACTGGTGTTAAAACAATGTCATAATGCTAAAATTACAATGGACTTAAAAATAGGCTTCATTTTCTAAATATAATTAGTATTTCTGGACATGTTTTTGTTCATTCGTCATGATCAAGGGACTGTAGACTCTGGTAAAAGAATCCGCTCAGAAATTGCAGGACTTTATGATATTGATGTATCTGGTCATGTTGCGGTCATTCTCATTATCAATATGATGAGTAGATTATAATGAGATGATGATGGAGCTGCACGTGCCGTCCTAATCTGACCCTTTGTTCACGTCACTGAGATTTAAATACACACATCGAGAAGAGTGCAACTTTTCATTTGTATTTATTTATGTTTTGAAACACTGGAAATGGTTCATGCTGAAGGTATAAACTTCTGATTTTACACACTTGTCTCTTATGCTGGCTTAATTAAAAAAAAAAATCACATCTGCACTGCTCTGTAATTTTTGGTTTACATTCTTTTGCAAAAATTGTAATAAAATGTTTTAATGAAACCTTTACCTTATCCTGTTTCCAAAAGCACTCCAACCTAAAGTCAACAAAAGTTGTCACTATTCTAGGAAATGCGACCATTTTTTTAAGCTGTGTAGATGCAGAAGAGCAGCGTTCAATAATATCCCTGTATTTCAGCAGTGGAGAGCCGTGCAGGGAAATGTGCCTGTCGTGTTTGTTCTGCTCTAGAATCTGCTGCCAGCGAGCGTTTGAGCCTCTGAGTTCCCAATCAGAGCAAAGTTCACCCCAAAACAAAAAGCTGTGGACGGCTGAGAGCGAGGAGAACAGCGAGGATGATTCGAAGCGCTCTGAAACACAGGGCCTGTGAGTGGTTCATGTGTTTGTTCTGCTTTAACTGTTTGTAATTACATTCTGTTGCTCCAGGCTTTTTGAGCTCAAAAGACATGATGGAAAGAACACTGTATTTGTTGGACAAGGTTTATTGGGTGTCCTCTGTTCATGCTGGCTTTCTTGGCATCTGATGCACAATGCATAGTATATTCACAGCACTCAGTTTACCTGGCTAGATATATTAAGTGAGAGTTTCATCAGAACTCGAGCCATCGGTGAAGTGCGCTCACAGGACAGTGCTAATGCTCGCTGTCAGTTGGCCATGTTTCGTCGAGGAAAGGATGCGTTTTGGCCGCTCCTCGAGGGTTGATGTAATCCCCCTTCAGTGTGCTGTTTATCCTGGATGAGTATTGATTTGTCTTCTCTCTCCTCTCCTTCATTAAACTGTGCCGGGTCACCATATGTGCCTAATGAAAGCCAGCTCCAGCCCGTTCTGTGTGCAACGGATTTTGTTGAGCAAAGTACGAGTCATTCTAGCGCAGATATATGTGCAGCTGACATGACGACATGCCATTTTTCTTTTCTTTGATGTGTTCATCTGCATGGACCATGTTGGGTTTTTTACCTTTTTTATTATTTTAAACCACTTGCAAAATGTGTAATGTGTATTTTTTTTTCATGTGGTGTGACTTTCTTCATGACCTGTGAAATACTCAAGCTTGAAACAAATGACACGAGTTGAAATAAATTGGCATTATGAAACTGCAGTCTGGTTAATTAATTTGCATATTGGCCGGGGGTGCTGTGGAGTTGACCTCTTATCAGGCAATCTTAAAATTGTTGCTAACTAGGCCCTCAAGAGCTTGCTTTGACTTTAAAGCGTTTGGTGCCGACAGAGAGTTTTGTTAGAGAGTCTCTGGGGTCTGAGGTTTGGGTCGTGTGTACGGTTCGCTGTTAGTCTGTCCTAACTGTGGAAGTGAATGCCATTGATGCTGCTGTTGGCAATGCTAAACCGTTGCTGTGTTTGTTGATGGTGTGCAGACTCTTTGACTGACCTTTACTCCACTCCAGGCAGGCTCTGGTGTGTGTGAACTCAGGAATGGAGGAAGTTGTCTTATGGGAAGGGAGCAGTTCCTGTTTTTGAAGCCTATTTTTGCTTGGTCAGAGAGCTGAGACATCTGTGATTGTGACCTCAGCACATCAGAATCTGAGCATTGCAATCCACATTCAGTTTTAGCAATGCTGCAATGCACGATTATCAATATGCTGTTTAATAGTGGATAGTAGGGGTGTAAAATACATTGATACAGTTATAATAATTCATTGCATTGATTATAGATTCAGTATTCTAGTATTGTCTATTTCAATAGCCGGTGTGGAGCTGAGGAGATGCAGAGCACACAAGATTGAGGAAATAAATGTTTCCTATAAATGAATAAAGCTTGGATTTCTGCATCATCATTCATGAATACACGCATTCGTTTGAGCAAAGCCTAATTGTCGTTTTCATCTTGGGATTTTATGTGGATATTCTGAGAATAAATGTGCTTCTACATGCCTCGAAACATGAAACAAAAAAAATGAAATTCGCTGAAAATGTGCTCACTCTCAGGCCATCATCCAAGATCAGGATGAGTTTGTTTCTTCATCAGGTTTGGAGAAATGTAGCATTGCATCAGTGTCTCAGCAATGGATGCTCTGCAGTGAATGGGTGCAGTCAGAATGAGAGTCCAAACAGCTGATAAAAACATCACAATAATCCACAAGTAATCCACAGCACTCCAGTCCATCAGTTAACATCTGGAGAAGACAAAAGCTGAAACAAATCCATCAAGACGTTTTTAACTAATACATTGAGTCCATAATCCATAATAACACTTCCTCCAGTGAAAAAGTGCATCTCCTGTTGTCTCTCACATCAAAATCCAGCCACATATTTATTTAGAGCTGTTTAAACGCTGCTTGATCTGTGCAGATTTCTCTCCTGATTCAGACCAGAACACTTTTCACAAGCACTTATCCTGGCCCTTCTGAGCGAGAACAGATAAACTCCCTTTCATTGGTCCTACAGGTTGAGTGGCCAGGGCTGTGAGTGGATACGCATCTGCTGCTCTTCTCCCTGTCTGTTGTAGTTATGAGACCGAGTTTGAAAGGAGTATTTGGTGCAAACAGCTGGCATATGTTAGCCTATTTAATTAAAGGTGAACATCTGATTTCAGCAGCTTGTACGAGGTCTGCTTTGACTGCGTGTCATGCACCGCTGCGTAATCATTCTGACTGTATTCATTAATAGGGCTGGTTATGTCTGAATGCTTATCTCAGATTCGCAAGGTTGCATTCGGAGCAGTGATAGTTTTGTCAGCGTAAGAAAGAAAGATATGCTCTGTGAATAGGCATGGTGATGAACTTTTCTTTCTAGTCAGTTTGCACATATGCTGTGGCTCTAATGCTGCAGTGTTGACCGTAAGATGGTTTCTCCGTTCACATCGTACAGCAACTACCATCTCAGCAGCACTGCAGGGAACCCTGTTCTTACTATAGTAAGCTAGCTCAGCAGAAGTGCAGCACAAGACACCTGCATGACCGTTCTTAACCTTTAAAAAAAACAAAAAACAATAACGCATGCATTTATGTATCAGAACATTTAAAGCGGTTTTTATCAGTGAATCAGTAACAAACAGCCTTTGTCTGCAGTCCTGTTCATTCAGATACTGGATGACAGCAATGTCATGCTCCTGCCTGATCATGCTTAGATTATGTCCACCTTCAAAGTTTTAGACCAATGAGCTGTCATTGTGGATGGAGCTTCCCAGAGCAGTGTGTCAAAAATAGAGACCAAGCGACTGATAAAATGTTAAAAGGATATTACAGTATATGACAGATCCCTCAGCTTCCGCAAGGAAAGCCATAAAAAACACTCGAGTCATGAGAATATGAGGCATGTGCTCTTAGCTTATCGCCCTTCAGCTGGAGAGAGCACACAAACGGCTTGAATTGTGAAATATAGGGTTGAAATATAATAAAAAAGAAACAAGTCCTAAATATAGCTGCAAGCAGCAATCACGGGGCCAAGCACTCCAGAGGCAAATTGAGGAGCTAAGCATGGCATGGAGCATCAGACCAAATGCAACAATGAGTAATAAAAGCAATTTTAGGATGATTGTAATTGAAATGGCTGAAAAATCATAAATACAACCACTAGTAATATGATTAAATGGCTTATCACTTTTGACCAACAAGTGGCGCTGTAATGAAATCCTTTTGGTGTGTTCTGTGTGAGGTGATATTGACACACACAAAGTTTGTTGTCATTATGTCAAAGCTTTGAAGAGATATAGCCACAGAGTCATTTTGGCACCATACCTAAAATTTGTAGCAGTGCTGTACCAAAACGGTTTCGTCTATCGACACGAAATCCATAACTTTCTGTCAGCACAGTCTGAAGATCATCTGACTCGATTTTGGTGAAAATCGGACCAACGAGTGGCGAGGAGTTAAAAAAAGTAGGTTTTCAATATAAATAAAAATGGCTGACAGGAAGTTCAGCTTACTCTGGCATAATTGGTATGTATGTTGTCGGCATGACCCATGGAATATTTTGAGACCAGTTTCATTGCAATAGGCTAATGCAATAAAAAGTTATTAGCATTTTTGTAAATGTAATCATTAATGGTTAATGAATGGTTTATTACTCTTGACCAATAGGTGGCGCTGTTACCAAATTGATGTGGCGTGGTCAGTGTGAGGTGACAATGGCACAAACAAAGTTTGGTGTCAATATGGTGCTTGGCCCCTAATTATGCCTTTGTAGACAACTTCACTGATGCATTTTATTGATGTTTGACCAGAAAAATAAACTTCATAGCAGAAACAGTCTGTTTTAAAAGCAACACAACACATTCTCAAACCATTTTGCTTCTCTGATGTTACTTTTGTGAGTGAAACAAGGCATTCAGTGAGAAAAATGTAGAATGTAATTAAATTTTGTGTAATAGGCATTTCGGAATTTCCGAATGTATAGGACTACTACAAAAAGTCCACACACACACACACGCACGTGTGTATA